AAATACAAGTTGTAAGAGGACCCGCAGGGACTAGTCAATGTGCCAGACTAGTGGGGAATAACGCTTCCCCGGGCTCCTGAGTTCAATACACGGCACTCTCACAACAGAACTGTACACTTTACACTTATTCAAACACAAGATCATATTCAGTACTCACCTCAAGGCCACCTTCTCTGGGTAGACCCAAGGTTGGGGGGTATAGCCTAACCACCAGTTGTCCTGAGGATACAGGGCCTCTAGCACTGGGCCAATCACCCGTCTGGAGTACAGCAGATTCAGAGAGATCTACCTAGCCTCGAATGTGGACAGTCTTCACGGAAACGACTCGGCGCGCTTAAGGATATTCGAATAAGAACATGGAATATTAAAACTTTAACTGGAAAGGAGGTCGGACTGGTGGAAGAGATGAAGAAATAAAGTTCTGGGCATTAGTGAAGTTAAGAAAAAAGGCAGTGGTGAAATGAAGTTAGCTGGAAATTACTCCTTAATTTATGCTGGAGTACCTAGAGGGATTTTCGCCAAGGAAGGGGTAGGCCTAGTAATGTCGCCATATATGGTTCATCGTTTGGAGGACTGGGAACCAATATCATCTCGATTGATCGTGGCAGATTTTAAGATGCCCATTGGTAGGATTACCATAGTCCAGGTGTATGCACCAACTGAGGATACCAGTGTTATGGAAAAGAAGGCATTCTACTTGGATTTACAAAATATTGTACATAAAGCTAAGGAAAAAGGAAGATCTATAATCCTGAGTGGGGATTTTAATGACAGAACAGGAAATGATGTTATATCAGGATATGGTGTTCTAGGGCTGCATGTAGGTGAAAATGTAAAAAATAACAATGGACAGCGGCTAATTAACTTTTGTGTTGATAATGACCTCATCATATGGAATTCATTCTACCCACACAAAAGAATTCATAAAATTACTTTCTCGTGCTTGGAGCGGAATAGTATAATTGACTATTTTATATATGACCAACACATTAGACAATATTTCACTGATGTAAAGATCGTGAGAGGAGCAGAGATAGGCAGTGACCACCTTCTACTTGTGGCTGATACAAAGATCATTATGGATAGTAAAAGAAAAGCGAAGGCATTTAAGACCCTGAATATTGGAGCCTTGGATGATCCAGAAAAGAGGTTCCTCTACACGAAGAATTTAGAAGATAAATTAAGAGCAACAACTTTCGATGGAGACGTAGAAGATATCTGGAACAAATTAAAGTCATGTATTCTGGAGGTTGTAAATGCTGTATGTGGGAAGAGGAAGGTATCTGGTAAGGGAAAGCGGACTGACTGGTGGACCGAGGACCTTCAACGAATAGTGGCTTGGAAAAAGCTTGTCTGGAAAGCATACCTTCAAGATAGAAACGAGGAAAAGCTACAAAACTACCGAACAGCCAGGAATGAATGCAAGGCAGCCGTTAGCCAGGCCAAGAAATGTTCGTGAGAGGATTTCAGTAAAAAACTGAGTGAAAACCATCGTGAATCCATAAGAACTTTTTGGCGAAAAATTAAATTTGTAAGAGGAAAGAAAAACAAGCCTGTCAGAAATATAAAGGATAGCGATGGATCCCTGCTTACCGACAAGGAAGAGATCCTGAACAGATGGAAACAACATTTTCAGGAACAATTCTCCGAAAATCCAGGAATACGTCACTGCCAAGAACGAGAGCACTCTGCTCTAGAAAGCCTAGAGGTAATAGAAGAAGAAGAAATAGAAGACGCAATCCAGACTCTAAAAGCAGGAAAGGCACCGGGAAGGGATGGCACCGCCCCAGAATGTTTGAAATATGGTGGAAATGAACTCCTTAAAGTCCTTCAAAAGCTCTTCCAGGAAGTATATGATAGAAAGAAAATTTCGGAGGATTGGGAATATAGCATAATCCTTCCAATTCATAAAAAAAGCAGTTCAACAGACTGCAATAACTATAGACCCATCAGTCTGCTCTCTGTGGTCTATAAATTATATACCTCTATATTAGAAAGGAGGCTCTGGCGGATTGTGGAGGGACAGTTGGAAGGTGAACAGGCTGGTTTCTGCCCTGGCCAGCAGACTCAGGACCATATCTTTGTTCTTAGGACCATCGCTGAAAAGGCCTGGGACAGAAACAAAAACCTGTACCTGGCATTTCTTGATCCAAGGGCAGCGTTTGACTCAGTTCCTAGGAAAGAAATTTGGAACGCTTTGGTTGCCAAGGGCGTGCCTGGAGATTTGATTGAGGCAGTGAAATCAACCTACCAGGGAGCCACTGGAGTGGTAAGGATAAATGACACGGAATCAGAACCTTTCCCAATTGAGAGAGGAGTCAGATAGGGAGATAGTTTAAGCCCCCTCCTGTTTATAAACTTTATGGACGAGATCCATAAAATCTGCAAGCGTCGAACTGCATGGACTACAATTGGAAACTGGAATTTGAGAACAGTTTCGTACAGAGCTTTTTATATGCAGATGACATTGTGCTCATCGCCAATTCCAAGATAAAACTACAGCAATCACTGGTAGAATGGGAAGAAGAGCTGCTGAGAAAAGGTATGCAAATAAATGCCTCCAAAAGTAAAGTGATGGTTATAGCGAGAGAAGAAGAGGAAGACGTCCAATTGGTTTGCAACGGAGAAATTCTTGAGGTGGTAAAGGAGTACACATACTTAGGTACCATAATTGCTAACGCTGGTAAGATAGATGCTGAGATTTCGAATAGAATATCTAAGGCGAATCAAGTATATCACCAGATTGCTAGCAGTATCCTCGGCTGACGTGAAGTGGATAAAAATACTAAGATGCACTTCTATAAGTCTGTATACCTTCCTATTCTCACCTATGGCGGAGAAAGTTGGACTATGTTGGACAAACATTATAGTCGCATAACAGCAGCGGAAATGCGATTCCTACGTAGATCGGTGGGCAAAACTAGGAGGGATCGCATTAGAAATGAAACTATCAGAGAACAGCTGGAAGTGCCTGAACTCAAAACTACCTTGGAGAACAGGCAATTAAGGTGGTTTGGACATGTCTGCCGCATGAACGAGGACATGGATCCTATAAAGATATTAGAGGCTCGACCCACAGGGAAGAGGCCACGAGGGCGTCCCAGAGTCTCATATCAGGAGTTCATGGAGAGGATCGGAGGTAGAAGAGGCAAATCCTTCAACCAAATGAAGCGGTTAAGCAGAGACCGGGAAGGGTGGCTGCGCTGGATAGAGGCTCCTCGACGCTAGAAATGGCATTGTGAGGAAGACAAAGAAGAAGAAGAAGTTGTAAGAGGGATGGTTCCCTTACTTCAAATTTTTCCTTCAACAGTAAATTTACTCCCCCTCCCTCCTTCCTAATCTGCAAAATTTTCTAAACTTAATGTAGGGAATGCATTTTATAAAGATGTACTATTTCTCTAAATGTATCTTTAGGTATTAATCCTGATCATTCCTTTTGAATCTCTTATTGCGGGGTCAACAAGCAGTGCTTCTTTTTCAGGCATGCTAAAAGCTAAAATATTGATAAGATTTTATTTTAGGAATATTAGACCCTCAATTATATTTATTTTTCACTGTGCAGCATTTATGTGGCGCTAAACTCAAGGCCGTCATCAGGGGTTGGCAAAAAGGACCACGAGGCCCACTTACTAAATTAGTTTCCCGAACCAGTGTCAGCCTTAGGGCCAGGCAATTAGAGCAATTATCCCAGGGCACCGATCATCAGGGACAGTTGCCACTTGTTTAGAATTTGAAACAAATATATACAAAACATATTAAAATAATTAATTTTAGTTGTTGATAAAGGAACTGTATTAGAGAAATATTGAATAAAATAAAATTCAAATATTACATAATATAAAACAGCTTGAGAAATAAATTTGATGTTTTTTTGAGTGGGAGGAGATTGTGTCATTCCTTAGGGGGTTTAAGTGTTTAAGGGCGGCCCTGTCCCTACCAGTACCAGTATGTAGCATTTATTTACAAACTTCCTCAAATTGTCAAAGCCTACTAAATTTATAAATAGTGACATATGACAAACAATTCTCTTATGTACTATGTGCATATCCAGAAGAGGATAAGATGGGGCAGCCATCTCCCCTTTTAACTTGAAAAATAATTTAAGGTAACTAGCTATAAATATAAACAACAAATTTCTGAAAAATTAACGGTGAAAGGTTGGATGTTGTGAAAGAAATTAATTATGATACGAAGACTGCTTCCCTCGAAACTTGAGGTCAAGAAAATAGCTTAATATAAATGTTTACAAAAACTCAACTCTCACAAAAATTGTTGATCCCAATACAACAAAGATAAAGTAAAACATCTATGTTTTAATTAACTTATGGATGTTTTCCGTAATCTAAAAATAAGATAAAAGAAAGAAAAGAAACTGAATCATGAAACTTCTTATAAAAAAAAAAAGATACATTCAGATACATATTTTACAGTAAACAGAAATACATATGTTAGATGAGAATTCTGACAGATCATTGTCTCATGTATCTAAAAAACATTTTTAATATGTTAGTTGAGGAGGAGGGAGCTTTTCTTGAATTCAAAGAAAAAACAAACTGATAATTAATAATGTTTTGGATTGAGTTGCAGGCCTTCATTAGGACAACTGAAGTTCTAAGAGAAAGGAGAATAGAGAATATATTTTTTATCAGTAAAATTAGAATTAATTTAATTTCACTTGTAATGTAATATTCCAATGGTTAGGTGACATAAAATGGAGCATAATTCCAATGGAATTAAAAGAATGTTTCTTAAGATACCATAATGACATGTAACTTCGAAATCAAACGAAAATATACATTGGCTAATAATTTCTTGAAGAATCTTACACTCCTAACAAACATTAGTACACAACAATGGGTTAAAGTAAAATAAAATCAATTACCACTTAAGCCAAAATAAAAAAACATATTTTAGAGAGAAATCAAGTAATATTTATTTAGTAATAAAGATTAACATATTTAAACTATATCAAACAAAACATAATAATGGTTAGATATTACCTAGGCCCAATCTCAATTAAACTCTTGCCAGGACAGTTATTTAAAAAGGAATCCTCTCGTGTATTTTCTGGAATTAAAGGACATGATAGAAGCCAAAGCAGTTTTTTTTTCTCATCTGAATCCAAAGGTTGACAAACACTTATATTAAAACATATTTCACTACTAAGGTCAACTATTTCTGTTGTAGTTTCTTGAAGTTCTTTTAATTTTGCAGCTTTTTGTCCTTCAGACAAACCTGGAATTCTATAAAAATGTAAAACACCCATCTGGAAAAACAATTAAAAATTACTAAATGAACATTGGATAGATAATATAATAACTCTCAAAAATAGTTATATATTCGTACCTTGGAATACTCACAATAAATGCGGAGAGATAATCACCTAACTTGATAAATATTATTCAATCTTGAAAGGGCAAAAGATTATCGTTTACACACGTCACTTTGATAGTCAACTATTAAGTAATCTATTCCCACAATAAACTATGTGTAAATGTAATCGTAACCGATAAGCTAAAAATGTAATCAAGCTTAAAGAAATCCACTATCAAATAGTTTTTTGCGGATAACAAGAAATCGTCAGAGAAATGAGTCAATTGAATTTGGCGGTTATTATGCCAACAAGTTGTTCCATAGCAGAATGACCAGAGAAGAATCAACATCAAAATATGAAAATAGAGATTTTTTTTCAACCATAACTTCAGTTTTACAGAAGGCAAAGTAATTAAGAAATTCATATTACTGTTTGCTCGGTTCTAGCATTCACACAGTGATTAATTAGAATAATGATTCTATTAACAGAAATATTATTTTTCTCATTTTTCCTTGTAATGAGGAATGGTTGTAAATTTTTGTCCACCCCACTTCTCAATCTTAAATTCAACCCAATATTTGAATCCTCTCTTCTTAACAACGTTCTTCTACACAATAACCTAATATTTATCTTTAATACAGTTCTCTTTTTCAATACTCTTAATAAAATATCCGTGGTAAACATCTCACATTCCCTATGTTAACTCAATAAATTAAAGAACCGACCCATCATACCTGGTTTTCAAGCACACTAATTGATCTTAATATAATAGACCTCCTTCAAAATAAAATATTATTTTTGCCATACAACGGTCATATTCAAATTTCCTTTAACATATTCACTATTTTATATTTTTTTTTATTCCTTCTCTTCCTCACATTTTAGGCTATACGGGTTTTTCCCGAATCAGAGGAGAGGGCGAAGCATTGATGCCAGAAATAAAAGCACCCCGGCAACGGGACGCGAACTCGCAATTATTTGGTGAAAATATATTCAGTTTATCAGGTTGCCGGGCAACGCATGTTTAGCACAAGGCAACCCTAAACAGATATTTCCACCCTCATTCACATCCCTAAACAATTGTATCTTAAGGAAATGTTCGTTCTTTAATCACGTAAAACAATAATTTTTATAGCTGCCGCATTTCCAATCAACTAAAACCATCTGTTTCTCCGAGGAATGGATAAGATTGTATGGAGGGCCATCACTTGAGGTTTTGCGACCGGTACGAAATTATATTAGGCGCCTCCCTTTCCCCTTTTTTTATATTAAAGTCTTCAACCACTTGGGTAATTATAGGCGTCCCCTTACATCCCTCTAACTCGGCCAGTAGTATATATCTAGTGTTTACGGGTGATATTTATTGTACTTTACTATAATGCTCTTCCTTTTACGGCTGATAAATCTCTAGTCACCGTGTTAATTTATCTAACAGCAAGTGGAACTAAGTTTAGAAATAATTATGCCGCTGGTCGTGCAGCATTAAAACATTGAACATTAAAAGGAATGAATTAAATAGTAGACAGCTAATCGATATAAGATTTTTCAAAAGCATTATGCATTTTTGTTCCTAATCTGTGGCGCCCCGGTCGATCTACCCACGCGACGGCCCTGATTGTATGCATCAGATAATCAAAAGTAGCTGATACAATCAAAAAGGACCTGATACTGATACATTGATATAAATCACTGTGCAAACTTGATGGATAGGTGAAGAATGTTGTTCTGAAAATGATTAATATTCCTCAGCGTTCATAGGGGTAATTGTTAAAGAATGAGTTTTTTTTATTTATAGATAGAGTCCAATCCAATTGACAGGGTGTGAAGGTGCGTGTTAAGGTAACTTTGTACTTAAATAAAAAAAGACAAATAGCTCTAATGAGTTCAACTTAGGCAACTTTCGACATTATTTTGGCAGTGGACTGTATTTTTATTGAATTTGGAAGGTTATATGTTTTATGAAAAGTAATTCACCCTTTATGATGGCATATAAAGATCTTACGTGGCTATGAGGGCGCCCTCCAGTCCTTCTTCTCAGATCCTCTCTATTAAAAACTTGGTCTCAAGTGGGGTCGAGAGAGGCTCGTAGCATAAGCCGCTTATTTCTGTTTTTATAACTCACCGCAAGGCAGCGTTCGGGTACTAAGTTACGTTTTTTGTTCGTCAAAATTACGTAGCTTAAGCCACTTAATTCTTATCAGATTTCTGTTTTTATAAATCCCGCAAGGCGGCGTTTGGGTACAAAATTACATTTACAAATTTTACAAACTATTAATATATTTAACTACAAATATATAAATGTTACAAATATTACAATATGTCCTAAATATTACAAACTACAAATATATAAATGATTATTTCACTATGCTAGTGTTCAAGTTTTTTGTTTTCGATATTTTCCATCTGCTGTTGGTATCAAGAAAAATAAAATTAAGAGTTTGGTTTAGTAACAATGCAGTCTGACAGTTAAGTTAGGTAATTCTGTTTCTCATAGTTTGTGAAATATCTTAATACACCTTCACACATGTTCATATCGCTTCATCTTTATAGTTCTTATATCAACGACCTTCCTAAATCAATCCTTCACTATTCCCATCACCTTTATACCGACGATTCCCAAATTTTCCTTTCCTTCTCTCCCTCAGAGTTGCATAATACGTTTGCCAAAATTCAAGAAGACTTAAATCGGATCAGTGTCTGGGCAAACTTAAATGGATTAAGATTAAACGCTGCCAAAACTCAAGCCTTGTCATTGGTTACAAATCCCTTCTCAGATCCAATACCAACATTTCTATCCTGTACCTCAGTAAAACACCTAGGCATTTTCATAGACCAAAGACTCTCCTGGAATCACCACATTGCTCACATTTCCCGACAATCAATTGGTCTTGAAACTAACCCATCGTTTCCGCCATCTCCTACCCATTCCCACACGTAGACTCCTAATATCTTCCCTCACCTTGCAGTTGTGCGGTGTACGGTGGCCGCTCGGCGGAACTCGGGAACAGACTGAAAACAATTATGAATACCATCGTAAGATTTGTCACCCCGAGACAATCCCGTGTTTCTCACGACTATGCTGAGTTAGAATGGCCCTACCTTTCTTCCAAAGACAATATTTCCTAGGCACATTCCTTTGCCAAATAATCAATAATCATCGTACGTCTTATGTATACAATCTCCTACAATTCAAGTAATCAATCCACACCCTCTCTACAAGATCTCGTCCTTCTGACCTTTATAGCCCTTTCCACAGATCTTTCTCATTTAAATATTCCTTTGTTGCCCGTTCCACTGCGTTTTGGAATTCCATCCCTCTAAAAATCCACCATGTATTTTTCGTATCCACATTTAAAACCTCTTATTCCAATTCCTCTTCACAATTCAATTAATCGCTGGCTAAGTATTCTGGCGATCGCCCCCACAAATAGAAATGTTGAGGGGGCGAGAACATCGTTTCACCCTCTCAATAATATGAGTTTAAAAAAATTAAAATCAATAATAAATAAGCTACTTGTATGAATAAAATATATAAACTAAAACCGATTAATAAAAGTCGACTAGGCGAGGGCCTAGTAGTAGCTAACTAACTAATTATTTTATTGATATCTAAATGTTACTTTTATTCAAACTGTCATTATAATCAAAGATAATAATACACTGACAGGCAAAAAATTCCACCAACTTCATTTTTCCATTTAAAAATATTTCTGTAAAGTTGTATTTGTATATAATACATGGTATTTGTAGATAATACTTAGTATTTATGGAATTTTATAATCTTTTTTATCTTTAATAATCAAAATGTCATTGGGTAAGAAAGATTAGAGAAAAAAAAATTGAAAAACGAACCATTATTATTCTAAAAGAAATTAATTACATCATCGTTTAGTAGCGCGTGTTTCCTCCTCTTGCCTTCACTACTTCTTGAAGACGCCTCGGCATACTTTCCACCAGTCGGGAAATGTCCCTTTGCTGGAGGATAGCCCATTCCTCCCGAAGAGCCCTTTCAAGGTCCTGCAGTGTATCAGGAAGTGTTGCACGCGCTCTTATTCGTCTTCCGAGGTTATCCCATAAATGCTCAATGGGGTTCAAATCTGGAGAACGTGCTGGCCAGGCTAAAACCTCAATATTGTTCTGTTGAAGGAACGCCTGCACTATGCGGGCGACATGTGGGCGTGCATTATCGTGCATTAGAATAGAACGATCGCCGATTTCGTTGAGGATAGGCAACACATGAGGTTCCAAAATCTCATCTACATAGCGAATGGCCGTCAAAGACCCTCCACGAACAACAACCAATTCTGTGCGGCGCTCCGTTGAAATCCCAGCCCACACCATTAAGGAACCACGTTGGAAAGGTTGGCTCTGGGAAAAATTAATGGCTGCATATCTTTCGTTTCTTCTTCTCCACACCCTTTTAAGCCCGTCTGGAGATCGAAGAGCTAATCTTGACCCATCTAAGTGCTGTAAAAAGTACAGCACTCCATTCGTCCATAGTCCAATGGCTGTGTTCTCGAGCAAAAGCCAGCCGTGTTACTCTGTGAGTTCTGGTCAACTCTGGTCCTCTTACTGGACGAAAAGCCATTAGTCCATACTTATTTAATCTTCTCCGAGCGGTACGTTCAGAAATTTGCACACTCTCGAACTTCTTCGAGCTGATGAATCGCTTGAACAACGGTAAGGTGCCGGTTTCGTAAAATTCTCAAAGTCAAAAACCGGTCATCCCGTGGTTCTGTTACCCTAGGCCGTCCAGAACCGGGCCTTCTATTGTAAGAACCAGTTTCCCGAAAACGTCTGACGGCGTCTCGTAAAGTTTCATATGGAACTCCGATGGCATTAGCTGCATATCTAATGGAACGTCCATCATCAATAAGTGCCACACCACGCGCAACATCCTCAGCACTAAGAGGCATTTTTAAACTTAATATTGAAAAAATTAAAAGCCGGAGACTAAGAAATGTGCTGCAAGAAACGGCATTGAACTAATGATACTGAATAAACATTTTGATTCCATGGAAAGTAAACATTGGAATCTTTTTTTTTAAAATCGTTTTATTGAGAAATAATACATTTTGCCACATTTAAGGGCACTGAGTACTAAAACTGAGTGAGGCTCATTCATATTGTATATACAATGCAATAAAAAAATAAAATAAAATAAAATAAATAAAAATATATATCTATATAACAAAGGTAAAAACTATAAAACTAAAGAAATGTAACTTGAAATCAAACTAAAAAAAAATACAGAAATTGGTAGCAAATTAAATAAGTCATAAGTAAAACAAATAAATATATAAAAAAGAAAAGCATTCATACTTAATATATAAAAAAGAAAAACATTCATACTTAATATATAAAAAAGAAAAACATTCATATTTAATATATAAAAAAGAAAAACATTCATACTTAATATATAAAAAAGAAAAACATTCATACTTAATATATAAAAAAGAAAAACATTCATACTTAATTTACAATTTACAATCAGCAAGGGAGCTCCGAGTCCAGCCCTTTCCTCCACGTGTGAAGGACAAAGCGAGACTCTAAGAGATCCCAGCGCTTCTCTCTCAGCCGCGTCACCGGCAGGAGTCCAGTGGAAACTGAGAGAGGGCACTAAAGCAACAGAGGCTCATGACGTGAGTGGAGAGGCTGGCCATTGCCAGAACTCCAGTGACAGTCTTTACAAAAGGTTCAACCTTCGAAGAGGGTTGTAGGGGTGACTGGAGCTGGATAAGGATTGTGCTAAGGAGTTAGGATGGTGGATTAGGTTCAGATGAAAATTTGAGAATCGAGATGGAATAACGTTAAGGACATAAGGGATGTAAAGGTCATGATGTAGGGTTTTTGTTTGTAACACAATAAGGAGCATTGACTATTATACGGAGGACTTTAGACTGAAAGGATTGGATGCGTTTGATGTTCGAAAATTTAGTTGTCCCCCACAGTTCAAGTCCGTAGGTCCAGATGGGTTTGAGTATGGTCTTGTATATTAATAGTTTGTTTTCTATTGAGAGATTGGATTTTCTGTTAAGTAGTCTGTATAGCTGGCCAAATCGTCGGTTAAGTTCTTGTCTTTTAAGTCTGGTATGTGGGTTCCAAGTTAGTCTTTTGTCTAAAACGAATCCAAGATACCGAACTGTGTCTGAGACGGGGAGAGGTACAGAGTTGAAAAGGATATGTGGACAGGATCTGCGTCGGAGGGTAAAGGTGATATGCTTGCATTTGGATTCATTTATCTTAAAGCGCCAATTGTTACACCATTGCTCAATTAGGGAGACGTGTCTTTGTAGGTTTAAGGATGCTGTTTCAGGATCTGAGTGGAATGAAAGGATGGCGGTATCGTCAGCGAAGGTTGTCAGAAGGGTATCGGAGTTGGTTGGAATGTCAGCGGTGAAGAGGATGAAGAGAACTGGGCCCAAGAAACTGCCTTGTGGAACACCAGCTTCAATTGGATAATAATTGGAGAATTCAGTGCCGCAGCGGATTTGAAAGGAACGATTTCAGAGGTAGGATTTGAGGACTAGGTACAAGGATTGGGGTAAGTGAGTTTTGAGCTTGAAAAGCAAGCCATCATGCCACACCCGGTCGAAAGCTTGCGCTACGTCCAGAAAGACACCGGTGCAATATTGCTTGTTTTCAAGCGCAGAGGATATATGGTCAACAACGCGAAGGCCTTGTTGAACAGTGGAATGTCTTGAGCGGAATCCAAACTGATGGGATGGGATATTGTGGGTTTCAAGTATGGGTAGGATGCGTTTGAGAAGGATTTTTTTCAAAGATTTTGGAGAGGATTGGGAGCAACGATTGTTGTAACGATTTTTTAAACGTATGGCTGAATTATTTTTGGTTTGATGGCTCAAATTTTTTGGTGAGATCCCTTGATTGTTTTGAAACAATTTGAGCTAAAAATACTGACCCGTTACTTAATAAAATGTGTTGATAAAGTTGCAAAAAAAACTTTGTAACGCTGTTTTAAGCGAACGGTTGGATCGATTTTTAAGTTTGATGGCTCACATTATTCGGTGAGATTTCCTTTGATTTGGTCTAAAACATATGTTTAATCGATTTAAATTCTCGTAAATTATTAGATGAAGTGTGCGAAAATTTTGAGCGGATGGTTTCACCGATTTTTAACTTTGAAGGCTTTAATTACTCAGAGAGATCCCGTGTACGTTTTGAAACAATTTGAGCACAAAATATTTTTGTTATATTTTAAGTATCTTGATTATTAATCTATTTGAAATGATATCATGTGATCATTTCGTCGGCACCATGTTAAGTTAACGAATGTGCAACATGGACAGGCTCTAGTATTTGTTATTTTAACGTGGTGCAGACGATATTTTATGAAAATAAATTGTTAATATTTAAATTATAAAAAGGTTAAAGTAAAAAAATATTTGAATTGAAAAAATCTAATACAGAAGTTGGGAAATTCTATTCACCCTGAGCGAATGTTCTTTCATATTCACTTAAAAATCTTGATAATACATATGTAGATTGATAGTTAAATTGACATCTAATAATATTCAAACTTGATGTAATAGTCGAGTAACTACTTCTTCCGAACAAAACTCAAGACTTTCCGATATTTACTTGCACCGATAGATGGGATGAAACAGCGATTTGGCTGAAGCAGTAACGTGTAGTGAAAGGCTATTACTCCAAGTTTAAATATTCGTATATATCAATTTCCGAGTCAATCTACCAAGATGTTGAAGTAGATATAGAAATACATTCTTTTAGGGTGGATAGAAGTTTCCCAATTTCTATAGTCGGAGTTATTTTTTTTATTCAAATATTTTTTCACATTATTTATTTTTAGAATCGTACCAACGCTATGAAGGCTGTTTCACCTCCCCCCCCCCCCGTATTTAATCTAAACAAATAAGTCATATGTTCAAGTATATACAATAGGTAAAACAAAAACAAATGAATAAATAAAACTCCTTACAATTATACAAAACATATAAACAAATTAATTTTAAAAATTCAATATTATAATTGGTCGTTTTACAATAATTATGTTGAATTTTAACACATAATAAAAACTTTTGCCATTTCATTTTTGGTCCATTGCCCCCTCCAATCAAAATCGAAAGTCTGCACCTATGCCTATCACAAAGCATTGTGAGTATATAGTTATATATTCAAGTGTATTTCTTTCTTTTTTTTTAATATTTATTTTCAAGTATGTATTATAGGTAAAACAAAAACAAATGAATAAATAAAAATCCTTAAAATTATACAAACATGTAAACATATTAATTTTAAAAATTCAATATTATATTTGTTCGTTTTACAATAATTATGTTGAATTTTAACACATAGTAAAAACTCTCGCCATTATATTTTTGGTCCATCGCCCCCTCCAATCAAAATCGAAAGTCTGCGCCTATGCCTGTCACAATTAGAAAGGCCAGTCCATCCCCCTGTCTTAATCCTTTGTTGGAGGGAAATGCATTAGAGCAGTCAGACTAGATCCGTACCTGACACTTTACATCTTTTATTGTCAACTTAACAAGACGTATCAGTTTGCTTGGGATGACAATTTCTCTCAATGCCTCATACAGCTTAGGTCATTTGATGCTATCATATGTACTCTTAAAGTCATCAAACAGGTGGTGTGTAGGGATTTTATATTCATGACTCCGTTCCAAGATTGACCTGAGGGTGAACACTTGATCAACAGTGGATCTGCCTTTCTGGAAGCCAGCTTGATATTTACCGTTCTGCAAATGGAGTAAGTCTGCTGAAAAAGATACTCCAGAGGATCTTGTAGGCACAAGACAACAGGGCTATGCCACAGTAGTTCGTGAGATCAAGTTGGTCTCCTCTCTTATGGAGAGAACCTATTATAGCATTAGTCCACTGTCGTAGCACTCTTTCCTGGTCCCAAATTGTCAGGATTAACAGGATATGTCAGGATTAACAGAGTTCTATGCAACTCATCTCCCCCATACTTGAAGAGCTCGGCTGGAAATCCATCCAGTCTCGGCACCTTATTGTTTTTTAATGCGAATGATTGCATCCATTACTTCCTCAAAGTTCAGGGGCTCAATATCTCCAAGATTGTTAGGCATATTCTTTCCAGCAATGTCGCATGCCTCTATAACCGCTTCCTCATTTAATAACAATCGGAAGTGTCTAGCCCACTGATCCAGTATACCCAGCTTATTGGTAAGCAGTGTTTCATCTTCTTTCTTAAATGTTTGAATCCCAGGCAGTGAATTTTAATACTACAGTAAATTATACTAAAGTAGATTAATGAGTGAACATTAATATTAATAACCAGCATGCCAGTGTGAGAACTTTCCTATCTTCAAATTGATAAGAACAACATTATAATTAATAAAAAAAGTCATGTAATCCTAAAAGATAATTTTCAAGTATTTCAAACTGATATTGTGGTTGAGATGAGGGTTTCAATCAAATTTCAGTAAACAAGAATTAAAAAAGTATCATTTATTTATATAAAAATAATGTAATATGAGTTGGAAAAAGTAACAATATATACAAATCTTGAAATTTTTAAGGAAACAAGTTGTTAAAAAATACAATATTATAACTTTATATATATATATATAAAACACCAACCATATATCAATGTCAGCACAGAATAGGACACAATAACAACATTACTATAGTGTCATTAAAAAATGTGATGTAACATGTTAGGATTATCTTACATAGCTCAAGTGAAAATAAAAACTGAATTGCAACAGCTGATGAACAATTTCCAGTACTTATAAATTACACAAGGGTTGAGGATCGGGGTTTTGTATTATAATTCTTCTCTTGATACCAAGAAACGAGATCACTAGGACAGCTGTCATTTTGAGAATTATTTGAGTCAGGAAAGATCTTAAGACTTACTGCATCTCTGAAATATTTATAAAACTTTTAATTTTGAGAAAGATAAAAAGTAAAAAAAAATATACCCATACCAGTATTACCGATGCTTCGGCTTTTGCTGAAGATCTTTGGTATTTTCTAAGTAATCAAACTTTTATTTGTTCTTTGGCAATTTAAAAATATTATGAACACTTGTTCAAGTTTATTTTACTTAAGTTCAGAGTTATAATATATTATCTTAAAATTGATGTTTTTTCAAAAGCAACTTTGAAAAATCTCTACCTGTGAGTGCACAATTTCTCTAAAACTAAAAAATAGTCCAGAATCTAATCTAAAGTTTGTTAGATCTTAACTTTATTTTTTTAAATTTTTTTCAAAATGATATCTTCATAATCGAATTCTAGCTTTTTTTTATTTTAATAGCTAGGTTATTATTTATATTTATATGTTATATTTAAGTATGGGATAACATATGGAATAAGTATATACTGGAAACAGGAACAGTTGAAGATTTAGAACCACCAGATGAGGATGAATTGCAAGCAGCCATCGAGAAATTGAGGGCTAATAGAGCTTTTGGCTATGATGGCCTCTAGTTCACATATCTCGAGATATAAGAAACTCTGACAATGATATTAATGCTGAAGTAAAGAGTCGAATAACAGCTTCTAACTTTTTTTTTTTGGCCTAACGCTCCAGGTGAGAACTGACCTCAGTGTAGAGTCACAAAGCTGATCCTGTACAAGGTATTAATATGTCCTGTATTCACATATGGGTCTGAAGCTTGGATGATGACCAAGGCTGATATGTATGTTTTGCAAATATTTGAAACAGCAACAGAATAATGACTGGTGGACCAAATTATGGGAGGCCCTAACTTAGCAAGAGTTGTATTGCTAAGAAAGAAGAATTTACATGAACGAATATTGCAATATTTTACATTGTTCTCAAGTTTGAAAGCAATAAACCCCCCTATGTACATCAATGATAGAAATATACCAATAATGTAGCACCAAAAATAAACAAATGAAATGTAATTAAAATTAATGCTCATATCCTAAGTAATAGTCTAAAATATCATAAAAATAAATCATTATAAAATAAATATGAAATGATTTACCCATTTGAAGCTAAAGGATGACATTCCAAAGGACGTAACGGTTTATAAATCCCCTTTTGCTGTAAAATAGAAGGTGCTTCATTTGCTAAAACTTGGCTTTGACTTTTACGAAATTTTGTGCTGTATTTATAAAAATCTGACATTTCAAATGGTTTTGTTATTTCACGGTAAGGTTGCCATTTTCCAGCTTGAACTACAGTATGGTTTTTAGGAGATTCATATGGAACAACCTGTAATCACCAAAAAATACAAAATACATGATTTAAATTAAATACAGACTAACAATATTATACAATTATTTAAATTTCACAGATATCAAACATATTGAACAAAAAATAAAAATTGTATACCAGCTGCAGGAAAAACACATCACAGTGGGAGTTTTAAATCCATATATGGTGTGTACCTGTACATGGTGGATAGAAGAATGCTTGCTTGATACAGAGGACAGGAGGGAAATAAAGTAAATACATCTAGTGGGACAGACTAGGAGTTCTGCCAGTTTTGCTGGCCAGGAAGGCAATCACCAAAGGTAAGTCCAGAGTAAGATTGGTAGTCAGTCGCATACAAGATCAAGTCCAACTACGGTGCTGCTTTTGGTGTTGGGACTTGAGTGTGTTGCTAGAATATAGAACAAAGTTTTGTCGCAAATGTGGTGAAGAGAAACATTCAGGCACCGACTGTACCAAGAGCCCTAGTGGTGCATTATGAGCTGGTAGAAGAAAAAATGGCCACAATTGCCTCGGTAAATGAGAGCGCATAACATGCATTTTTCTTCTGTCCCCATTCTCAGGAGGGAAGAAATATAAAAGGTCTGCAGATCAGAACCAACTTTCGATAACATCATCAGGAATGGTTGATGGTGGTATGCCAATACCTAGCAGTACAGGTCATCAAGAAACTGTGAAGTGAGGAAAAGGAAAAGTGAACCTGGAGGTAGGAACCAGGTAAATGAGGCGACACACAGCCACTCCCCTTCCATGAAGTAATGCTTAATGGTAGTCCCATGGAAGGAGAGAAAAAAGTTAAGAGAGGTAAGTTTAGTGGGTAAAAATCCCTCATGCGGGTATATTCTTTTCTTTTGGAGATTTTGCACCAACCAGTTAAAAAACAAAACACAAAATATGCAAGTTAGACTAAAATTTACTTCCTGATAACATAAATAAATGGTGATTAGGAATCTCAGATAATTTAAAAATTTATGGTTAAAAAAAAAAAAGGATTTATTTAATACATTTATAGATCATTAAACAAAACAGTGAATAGTATGATTTAAATAATAATAATCAAACAAAACTTACTGTGTCAAATTGAATGCTATTAACAGAAGCTTGATTCATTCGAGCATTATTATTGTTATTTTCATAGTGAAATGGGAAATCCTTGTCTTCAGAAGTATGAGACATGGGCGAGTCCATCTTAGGTAAAAGTTTAGGAGGAGAAGAATCTAAGCTACTCTCATACCACTCTTTCTCTTTAGTTTTTCTTAAAAGTTAACAAAAATATATTTATGAAACATTGTATCTATAATCAACTATCCACAACTCATTTGCAAATGATTTGGATCATTATAATGTTCAATAAATCAATAAATGAGAGTACAATATTTTCCAATGTTGATTGCTTAAGCTGCCAATGACGAATTTGAAAGAAACGACTTTTTTCAAACCTAAAACATCTCTTTTTGTAATTTACATATTAGTGTAAAATTAGGGAATGTCCTGAACCCTTGAGACATTTACTATACATGTTAACTGAAATTCCATTTCTCTCATTGGTTCTGATTTATGTTTACATTTCATTAATAAAGTAGTTGGAATGCATATTAATTTATTTATTATAACCTAAATAATTCATAAAAATGAAAATATTTAGACAAGAATCTCCTACAAGACTCTCCTAAACAAAGCATTAATAGACATACCTTTATAAGAACTTTTTTATGTTTTGAGATCCTTAATTCATATTTTCAGTTAGAACAATTAACTCTGAAACATCCTGTATACATATATGAATCAGCATCAGCATCCTTGAGCAGTAGTAAGTAACAAACAAGATACTAGAAATGTATTTTTGAAAAAAATAAAGAAGTGAAGTTTTTAAAAAGTTAAATTTGCATTTTTTAAAAAATTAAAATAACTAGATAACATAAAAAGTGTTTAAACAAACATTTTGCGTTCCCTCCCCAAAATGAATTAATTTTAAAAGAAAATTAAAATCCTTAAAGATAATTGTACATTACTTTTGATGTGTACTTTAAATGATCCACTTCATTTGCAAAAGAGTACATATTAATATCAATAAATACTTAAAGTTATACTTCATATAGTTATTATAAGCTGACCACAAATTAATAAAGATGGTAAAAGAATGATTATTTCCTTTTTTGTATTTCCTCCCCTCCCCCAAATTACACTAACTAATATATATAATATAAACCATAGTTTATCAATAACACATTCACATATTATATATAATATTTCTATAACTTTAATCAACTTGATTAAAACAACTGCAGAATCAGTTATTTTACTTGATTGCTATTTGCAATGGTCTGTCGTATACTTACATATTTATAATTAATCAATCTACCTTAAGGCAGAATTTCGTTAGTGCTGCCCTCAGTGATTGGGAGTGATTGCTGACAGTTCACTATTATTTTAAGGAAACAGAATGAGGAAACCTCAAAGTGTTGCATTTGACAAGTTCTTCATAATTTGAGCTTTATCTCCCTGGAACTCTATCCTCCCTGCTCTAAATAATGTACCAACAAACTCTTTATTCAACCCCCCCCATATTTAACCACCTTTTCTTTGTCTAGTCCGAATAATGTTATATTATAACATTTGCAAATGTTTTTATAATTACTAGAAGTATATAGTTTGAATCGTATTCATCATTTTCTATATTTTTTTTCCAGATTATATTAAAAAAAAAATTAAATTACTATAAACATCAAATTAATGAATTCCATTTACATTAGGAAAGAAAGTACTGTCATAGCCAACATAATATGTACATTATGTGTGCCCTAAAGGGACTTTATATAAGAATAACAAAGATATTTTTCACTTCCAACTTCGTTGGCACTGCTCAGCAGTCAAAGTTATGGTGTAATCTAAATCTACCGATTGCTTTATCTCAACCCGTCTAATGACCAGCAGTGATATTTCCTATTCAAATTATTACAAGAAATCATCCCTTTGTAGAATTTGAGCATTAGTATTTAGTTTATTGGTACACAATATAGTATTTTTTACTTGTTTTAACATTTATGAAATATTTTAATGGTTTATTGTTGTCTTCTTTTCATTTTTCCATTATCTTTAGGTCTTCTGGCTAGAAATGTTTTTATTATTTTTTTGGAACTTCTGTTATTCTCAAGGGACATTGTCCCAGAATACAATTATTTTACTATTTATATTTCTATAATAGTAATCATTTTGAAGTATAGACATGACCTATCCTAACTACTTAACTTGAAATACCAGGAAGAATGGTGTGTATGTATTTAAATAAAATCACAAAATTGTGACAATACAAATGGACACCATTAAATTAATATTTTAAACTAGCAATATTATAAACTATGATGTCTAACGAGAGAGCTTTTTGCCTATTGTGACAACCAGTTTCAAAGAAAAAAGTATAGAGTAACAATCAGCAAACAGTAACCGGTAACAGACGGCAGTCACTGCAAGCCACGCGATGGTGAGCAGTACCAGAAAAATTCTACTCTATGGAAATTGTAAATAGAGCACTGGAAAGAGGATCAAATTCTCTATAAGAAGGCAATAATGTATGCATAAACAGCAATGTAGGATGTCTATCTAGATAACGAATAATAGATTGATTTTTATTTGTTATTCTTATTCGATGACCTTTGGACAGATAATTATTAGTTATTAATTATTTACAGATAACCTGCACTATCTATTATCTATTATTCATTATTTAAGATAAAAATATGATTCAAATAATTTTTTTTGTAACTTTTAAGGATTTTTTTCCAATATGAGGGTCCATTATGTTGTTGGTGGCACTTTTTATCAAAATAGTGTCGGATTTAAAATTGAGCATCAAGTTTCTGATACTTTTTGGATTTCTTGGATACATAGGTCCACTCAAATGTTATCAGGGGTGCCACTGCGTATCAACTTATTTGAGTTTTTTGTATTCCTTCTACATAAGGGTCTATTTATTTATATGTTTTCGGAGCCATAGATTTTGAAAATTATCTCCATTTTGAGATTATGCTTATTTTAGTTTTCAGATTTCTTCGATATATTTATATTTAATCATATCTATACTTTTTCATTAATTTATTTGAAAATTAAATTAATTAATGTTGTATTATTTCATAATTAAGCTATTAATTGAAAAGAATTTACTTAATTTAACATCTTGGGGTAAACCTATTTTTAATTATTTGGAATTTGTTATAATTTGCATGGAAATTATATTTAAGTTTGTTAAAAAACGAGCTTTTTCTCTGATACATTTCTAAATAACATAAAATAATTAAAAAATGTATACCAGCAATTTTTATGTTCACTAAAACTGTTAGTGTCTTGACAATGAGACACACATAAGGTACCCTTATTTATTTTTCAGTTAAATTGATTATACAGTAGAAAAAGTACATTTGCTGACAATTCTTATAATTTTCTGGGGATCATAAAATATAAAATTAAGTTTAAAATACATGTCATGTTACCAATGTAACATTTACTTATTGCATTTTCCATGTAATACAGTTGTAAATCTCAATAAAATAAAATTAAAAAAAAAAGTTTAAAATATTTGAAGTCTTTAGTATCAAAACCTGCTCCATGTATTACCAAGTTGGAGAGATGGGCAAATGCCCAAGTGAGTACTGAGTACCAATTATTTTACTCAACTATTGACCTCCTCGATTCAGATTATTGTACTCAGATACTCAACTTGCTCGATTCTCAGTATTTTACTCAAATGCTGATTTATCTGAGTTTTTCTGTGGATAAAACGGAAACCATTTTCGAAAACTATGGCTCTGAAAACATATAAATAGACCCTTATATGAAAAAACTCTAAAAAAACAAACAAACTCAAATAAGTCAAAACGCAGTGGCATAATCATAAAATGGATACTATTTTTAAAAACTACGGCTCAAAAAACATAAATAGACCCTTATTTAAAAGAAATCCAAAAAACTCAAATAAGTCAAAACGCAGAGGCATAATCTTAAAATGGACATCATTTTCAAAAACTAAGGCTCCAAAAACATATAAATAGACCCTCATATGAATCCGAAAAACTCCAATAAGTCATAATGCAGTGGTTTAATCATAAAATGGACACTATTTTCAAAAACTATGACTCTCAAAACATATAAATAGACCCTCATATAAAAGAAATTCGAAAAATTCAAATGAGTCAAAACCCAGTGGCGTAAACATAAAATGGACTCCATTTTCTAAAACACATAAATAGACCCTTATATCAAAGAAATCCAAATAAGTCGAAACACAGTGGCATAATCTTGATTAAACTAGAAATCATTTTCAAAAACTGTGGCTCCGATAACATATAAATAAACTCTTATAACAAAGAAATCCGAAAAACTTAAATAAGTCAAAACATAGTAGCGTAATCTTAAAATGGAGATCATTCACTAAACTGCAGATTTGAAAATATATAATAGGGTGTATAAAAAATAAAAATGAAAGTTTTTCAACCAAATATTTGTATTATTATTTCTTTGATATAAAATACAATAAGTACAGTCCATTGTTATCTACCGTCATTAGCCATCTGCTATACACGGTGGGCCAGACCCCCCTATCGTGCACCCCTCCCACATCCCTATAAATTGCATATCGTTGTGTTCCTTGTGACCATTTATTAAAAAAAAAGGCAATGTTCCCACAAAAAAAAGTGGACTTCCTTTGTCGTTCGCTTGATGTATTTTTCTAATGTTTGGGTCCAATTTCGCGTTTTCCCTTATTTTGAGACCAAATACTAACAATCAGTTCCAGTTACCTAGAACTTATAGCTTCGCCCTTTCCATATTTCTTTGTGGAGAGAGAATATTGCATTCCATATTAAAATTCCATATTTTTTTATGATATGGTCCAACTTCCGAACGAAATAAAAATGATTTTTTCAATAGTGATATATGAATTTTACTAAACAATCCTTCAACTATTCACTATATTTAGTTCAGATTACGTATATATTATTTTAGTTTATAAAGCAGGTATTAATGTGACTCATTTCCCAGGAAGTATATACAATTTAAATTATCTTATTAAGAATCAGTAAATATATAAAACAAAGTGTAAAATTGCAAACGTTAAATAAAAAATTCAAGATATTCAGCAAAGTATTTTTGAATTAAGCTCTAATATTTTAATTATATTATTTTAATTAATAGGGGAGCGGGGTAGCTCAGTGGTAGGGCACTGAGCTTCCAATACAAAGGTCCCGAGTTCGAACCCCGGCT